GCGGGGCTATGTTTATATGTATGTATATACGCATCGGGGGCGTGTGGCTCTGGCGCGTGGAGGCGTTGTGGGCGGCTCGGTGTGGGCGGCCGCTCTCGGCGGGGCGGGCGGCTCCGGCCCGCCGGTGGGTGGCGCTATTTGAGATTTGGCGTGGGCGGCCGGCAACTGTGGCAGACGGCAGACGGGGGCAAGCGGCGGCCGGATCTGTCATCGAATCCCCCGCGGGGGCAACGCCACGGGGCGGCGCCGGGGGGCAGCGCCGGGGGGGGCACCACTAGGGGGCACCACCGTGCAAACAGCGCTAATGGCGGCAGTGATGGGCATCCCACTGCTTCACTTTGCGCACACACTCACACACGCAGAGTCTCTCCACGCTCCTCCCCCACTCGATGACCCTCGCAACCGGCGCCGCCGCGCTCCGCGCGCGCAGCGAGCGCCTTCGAGGTAGGCAACGGCCGGCGGCCTCGGACACGGCAGTGTGGCGGGCTTGCCTACCCGCCAGGCGCTCTCCGCGGCCGTCCCGGCCGTCCCGTTCTTCTGTCCGGCCTCCGCTAACCCTGCGCTTCGCCCCCAGCAACTGGTTGCCGGCTGGCTGGCTGGCTGGCTTGCTGGCCTCGGGCCTCTCGGGGTGTCGAGGGCGGCAGGGCTGCGCTTCGGCTTCAACGGCCAAAGTCGTCCCCGGGGCCTTGCTCGGCGCCCGCTTGCCTTCCTTGCTTTCTTTTTGTGCCTCTTCCGGCCGCCCCTTGCAGTGCGCCGCCGCACCGCTCGCTCGTTAGGTGCGAGTGGGCGCGCCCTCACCGCGCCCTCACCCTCAACCAGGATAATAGCTAAATACTCTGCACCGCCTTGCCGCGCTTCCGGTTCCTGTCTCGCTTTTTCGGCCTGCCAGAGTAGGCACCCCGAACCGCGCCCGCTTCCGAGAGCCGTCGCTCTGTCTCTCATCTCTCTCTCGCACTCGCGGGGCGTCCCAAAACAGGTGCGAGAGAGACAGAGCGACGACGCTCGGAATCAGGCGGCGGGCCACGGCACGGCGGGCCACGCTGCCCGAGTGGCGCAAGAACAAAGCGGGTGTTGCGTACGTGGGGCGAGAAAAGCACAAAAGGGGTGGGGGAGTGTGTTGTGCGGGGTTGCGGGACGCGAGGCGCGACGCAACAAAGCGCGCGCCCAAACCGCTCGGCGCCTCGGCGCTCACCCTCCGCCCCTCACAGACAGACACACACACACACACACGCACACACACACACACACACACACACAGCGGCGCGCACAAAAACGCGACCCCAAGACACGACGCCAGGCCCGAGCCAAGCCCCAGGCCCGCTCTTCTTATCAAAGTTTCGTCTCAATTGCTTTGTTTCTCTTTGAAAAGGGCCGCGCCGTTCCCCCCCCCCTTTCCGCCCCTTCCCCTTTCCGCTGTCCCGGCCGCCGACACTGTTTGGGGTACTCGATTTCACGGCTGGGGCTCGGAATCGGGTCATGCGTCGCCGTGGCCGCGCACAGTGGGCCAGAAGACCGGCGGAGGCGGCTGAAATCCCGGACGAGGTTTGATCTCCAGAATCGCTAAACAGGACTCGAACTGGACGTGTGACCCCACCAATGGATTCCTCGTTCGGAGAGCAATCCATTGGTGGGGTCACACGCTCGGTTCGAGTCATGTTTCGCGACGCTGGAGCCCAAAACGCGTCTGGAGTTTCGGCCACCACCACCGGTCTTCTGGCCCACTGTGGTGGTGGTGGTGACGGGGGCAGCACCCTGTCGGCTAATCCTGCAGCGCAACAAGGCGAGGCACAGTTTGGGCATTCACAGCGGAGCGGCGAGGCGGGCGGCGTCTGGAGGGCGACAGTGGCGTGGAAGGGGTGCGGGGGCCCTGGCACCACTAAATACTTAATGAGTTCGCGGGAGGCCAATGCTGTTAGGGCCTGGCCCGGGCGGAGCGGGGCGGCGCGCTGTGGGACTGGAACGCGCCTGCTGCTGCGGCCCTGCGGCCACCCTCCCCCAGGACCCCCTAACCCCTTCAGGCCTTCACGCAGTGTGGCCGTATGTAATCTTTCACGCTCGCGGGGGTCTTCGTCTCCTCCCGCTGCCGCTCCGCCTCACCGGAAGGAACAATAAAAGGTGTCGCGTGACTCGCGGGGCGGCGGCGACGACGCGGCTTGCCGGGGCTTGCTGCTGCAAATTGATATGTAAATTGATGGCTGCTTGGCGCGCCTCGCGAGTTTGAATTTCCGCGCGCCACTTGTCGCCGCCGTCTCACGGCGCCTCGCCTGCTTCCTTCCGGGCGGGGCGGGGCGGGGCGGGGCGGCCCATTACCAGGGAGCACACGTCTCGGGTGGGTGGCGGCCTGGCCTGGCGGCGCTAGGAGGCCCCTCTTCGCCCTGATGTGCATCGCCAGGCGGGTCATGCACGCCGGGCTCTGGGGGACGCGGCGCGGCACGGCGCGCAGCACGCGGCGCCCCGCAAGGACCCCGTCAGGGCGGGGCGGGGCGGGGGAAGGGCACGACAGGCCAACACCTGACTGCGACTCCGGGTCCCGGCTCTATTACCGCGTCCATTACATTACCGCCACGGAACGCCCCGCCCCGCCCCGCCCCGCCCCGCGCGGCGTGCCCCAAATTCGAGAGACGCGCGCGCGTGCCTCACATTGGCGTTAATAATACAGCCGGCCGTGTCAAATGAGCCGGGCCATGATACACTGACTGTACCCGTACAGTGGCGCGGCGCGGCGTGCTGCAGCACGGCCTCCTCCTCCTCCCGGGGGATGAGGCCGTCGGTCCGGCCTTGGCCGCGCACCGCGCAGCACCGCGCCGAACTCATAATGACGCCCCGCATTGTGCCCTCGGACTCGGAGACGGTCCGGACGGACTGGAGCAGGAGGAGGACGCCGCCAACTTTATATAGAAGATCGTTTATTGTTTGCGTTTCGAGTCCGCCGCCTTCCGCCGCCGTCGTCTCGTCTCCTCTCCATATTTCGCCGAATCGATTCGCAACAAAATAAAGAGCGAAAACAAATGGACGGGGGAGGGTTTGGGGCACTTGTCGAGCTCCATGCACAGCTTTGACGTCTCCGCGGCGTCTCAGCGCGCGTCCCTGGGGCCCGGCCCGGCCCGGCCCCGCCCGGCCAGACCGCGGTGTACGCCGTACGTCGCTTAGCTGCGTACTGGAATCCGCCCACGGTTTGTTGTTGTTGTTTTCTCTCTCTCTCCGTGAAGTAAGGAAAGCCGATTCGCGGAGAGAGATTTACTGCGGACTCGCTAAACGGGAGCGGTTCGTCCCGGTCGCTTATTCAAGAAGCGGCGGGAGAAATAAAAGAAAAACGGAAAACTTCCACACGGGGAACTAGAGGCGTGCGCGCTATTTTTTTTTTGACGGGCGCCACTATGCGTGTCGGGGGCGAAGGCGACGCGGAATGAAGTGGTGCTAAAAGTAATAATTTAAACGTACGAGGAAAGGGGAACACGGCGCGGCCCTCGCATTGGACGCCACAAACGAATGGCAAAGTGGACGTTGGACGTGCCGCCCGGCCCGCCAGGCCTGCCTCCCGCGGCTCGCCGCACACTGGCACACTAGGGGTCGTTTTCGTCGTCGCCCTGCCGCTCTCGCACCCACGGGGCGTCCCGTACGGGCGCGAGAGAGACAGAGCGACGAAATCGACTCTCGGAATCAGTCTCCTGCGCCCGCTGCGCGCGCTGACGTAATCTCAACGCGTTAATATTTGGTTGTCGCAGCGCTGCAATTTGTTTGCGTGTGCCGGGCCGGCTGGCGGGCAGGCAGGCAGGCCGGCTGGAAAACTCACCCCCTCCAGAACGGCGACGTCGACCGAGAGCAGAAATTCGTCCGAAGGCAAATTTCATGGGTTGGAAAGCTGCGGAAAAGACGGCCCGCCCCGCCCCGGCCCTTCGGTGTAGTAACGGCTACGGCCGTCTGCCCATCAAGGTGATCTTTGCCATGCCGAATTATTCATCAAAAAGTTTTTGCCGTTTTTCTTCTTGTTGTTGTCGCTGTTGTTGTCGTCTCTTTTTCCATTTTATTTTTCGGCCACCTCGCTCCCCAGCGGGTGTCTTGGGCTGCCCCGCCGCAGCCACTTCGGTTGAGCCCAGAATTGTGCCCCGTGTGTGGCGGGCCGCCTGCACTGCCCACTTGGCCTGCACTGGCTGCTGCTTGGCCTGCTTGCAGCGAGGAGGGGACTCTTTGTTTCTGCTGCTGCTCGGCCTTGGGGGCCCTCGGAGGGCCACACACACACACACACACACACACACACACACACACACACACACACACACACACACACACACACACACACACACACACACACACACACACAGACGTAAGGGTCGCGGAAGGGCGAGCGCGGCGTGCGCCGTTTCTAAAGAATGTGTGCTGGGCAGCGGGGCGGCGGGGCGGCGGGCCGTGGCTGTGAACCGCCGTGAAACGCCGTGGAACGCTGTCAGTGCGGAATTAGAGCACGCTACCAAGTGGGCCTGTGGGGCCACACGCCCCCGCGCCGCCCCACACCGCCCTCACGCGGCGCCGCCGTGAGATGGATTAAAATTCTCCGCTTTTTGCTGTACTTGTTTTGCTACCGTTTTTCTCCGGAGAGGGTGCCCTTTAGCGACTGCGTGGCCACGCGGTGACGGAAGGGGATGTATTTAGAGAAGGAAATTGGCACCCCCGGAACGGGCTGTTTGTTTTATTGAACAGTGTCGCCGGCTCTGCTAACCATCTCGCCCCTGCATTCCGTGTACCACCCCACCCCGCCCCGCCCCGCCACGCCCCGCCTTGCTTGCGTAATAAATTCAGAAGGCTCCGTGCTGCCGCCAGCCCGGCCCACCCCTCTGCCCGCCTGCCAAGGGTGTTGGTCGCCCTGGACGCCTTGAACGGACCCCGGCCGGGGCCGAGGCCGGGGCCCACCCTGGCACGACGGGGGGCTCGCCAGGTGTTCCCGCCGCGGCGCCGTCGCCAACCACCGCGCTAACCAAGCCGTTTGTGTTCCTCTGTTGCAGTGTGGAGCTGCCTGGCGCGCGCCAACGAGATGTGCAGCCAGGAGATCGTGATGGGCTGCGCGCAGCCCTTCAGCCTGCTCACGGACAACAAGGAGATGGCCATGTTCCGCAGCAGGGCGGACCTCGACCGGATATGCCCGTAAGTTGAACCGCTGCGACAGCATGGATGTGTCCATCGCGGCCGTTTGAACCTGGACCAATCAGGGAGCAGACTGCTTCCTGGCAGACGCTGGCGCCGCAGCTCGGCCATCGGTCCGCGGCGGTCGGGGGGAGGGGGAGGGGGAGGGGCATCGCATTCCACATCCACTGCAGGGACTGCTCCGAGTGCAGCCCGTGTGGTATTGACAGAGAAACAGCGGTAAACGAAGCCGGGCCGGGCCGAGGCCGTGCGTGGGCCATTCAAGCAGCGGCCCCTGGATACTGCAGGCCTCGGCCGGTCGGGGCCGAACGGCGCAGCCGGACAGAGGCCCGGCCTGAATGCCCCTCATTGGCCAAAAGCGGCCCGCCAGCAGACTGACTCCGCACAGTATTTCGTCCGTCTCTCTCGCACCGCCAGGAAGCGGCGCGCGAGCGCGAGGGAGACAGCGGCCGCCGCAGGGGTTGTCGGTTGGCAGCCCGCGGCCCGCGGCCCGGCCCAGGAATAGGCCTGCCTATCGAACGCCCCAATGCTCACACATGCACGCACCTGGAGGCCTAGAGGCCTGAGGAGGCCGTCGCGTGGCGTCGGCTGCCCCGGGGCCGCCTTCCGCCTCGATACCCTTAAATAGTAACCGGGCCGCAGACGACGAGACAGCGGGGCAAGGGATAATTCGCGAGGCCGCGCCCCTCCACTGCTAACGCGAGCCCCGCTCTCCTTTTTGCAGTGTCCGCGTCGGTGGGGCACGTCCGCGCACGGACTCGCACAGCACGCGCTTTTACGATGTGCTCTTGTTGTTGTTGTTTTCGTTTTTCTGCTCTTGTTGTCGCTGCTTCCGGGCGTGCCGGCGCCACACGGCTGCTCACGCTGCACTTCCAGTGCAGCCCCGAGACGCATCACTGCTAGTTTTCTTTCGTTCCTTTATTTTTTAAAGTTTTGTTTTTTTTCGCGGTGCGTAAGGTTGTTGCGAATGTTGTGGTAGCCGCTGAGGGTGGCCCTGCTCCTATCCGTGTTGTTTATGTTGAGCTCCCTCGTAGGAGGCAATCCCTATCCCCCGTCGTGGCCGCGCCCCCGCCGCGCTGCCGCCAGGGCCGTGGCCGTGGCGTAGAGTGTAGAGCCCCCGGCGAGGCCCAGTCAGCCCCCAAGGCCCCCGAGAGTGCTCCGAGCCCAGTCAACACGCGCATTGCTATATGGGGTAGTCGCCGTCCCCCCTTGCCGCCGCCATATTGCCCCCTCCACGCACGCGTCCACGCATCGACGCCGTCGACGGCAACCCCGGTACTCCCGCCCTGAGAGCAATGCAAACATATGCCGCCCCGGCCGCGCGTCTCCCACGACGGCGACGTTGGCGGTGGCGGCCCGACGCCCTGGCCGAGGCCGTGGCCGAGTCCCCCCCTTCCACTGCAATTTGCCTGGAGCCGGCCCGTGGCCAAGCTGGTCGTGCTGGTGCTGCCAACGGGCCGGAATAAATTGATTCTCACTGCGGCGCTCCTCTGGTGGTGCCGTGGCGTGGCGCGGCGTGCCACCCTCGATCTCTTCTCCGGAGGGTGCGGGGGCCGGCCTTCTGGCCCGCTGCCAGGCACAGCCCCGCCCCACCATGACGCCAGACAGCCCGGGGAGGAGCTGCCTCCCGCCTGCTCGCCCAGAGGCTGAGAGTGTTTCAAGTATCGGCCCGGACACGTCGTCAACGACGCGCAACCACTTTGGCCGGGGCCCCGGAACCCCGAAACCCGGGGCCGGGGGCCGGGCCGGAGAGGCCGGAGCCAGGCGAGGTGTCTGGAGGGCGCTGGAGTGGCGCCCCCGCCAGCAACAAGCAGAGGGTCGCCCCGGGGCTGCTGGCTGACGCCTTCATCTCGCCGAGGCCCTCGAGGACGCCGTCGAAGGCGTGCCGGCGGAGCGTGTCAACCCGCTAATGTGGCGGCGCGTTGTGCCCCCGCCGTCGTCCCGGCTGATGGCCTCAGTGCGCGGCCCCGAGTCGGCTCGGTTCGCGCCTCGGCGGATTAGCCGCGTAGCCTCGCTGATCCCCGCGGGATGAGCCGCGGAAGTGACTGGGTAATAGGTAATGCCGGGGCGCGGTGATTGAGTGGAGTGGAGTGGCAGTCGCGGTGTTGCGCGTTGCCGGTGGCGTTGCCAGCCGCCGGGCTCGCTGAGTGGGAGCGAGAGAGACGGAGTCATCCTGCAGCCCTTCCCGTTCCCCCTGTTTGGCAGTGGCTTGGACGGCCATCAGGACGGCAAGTAGCTCCTCCTGATTGAAATGGAGTCCGCGAGGGGGGCGCCCGGCGCGGAGTTAGCGGCGTCAGGAGCCTTGTAAATCAGCGGGGACGGACACCGCCCCCCGCGCCGCCCCCGCGCCGCCCCCGCGCTGCACGTGCGAGGCACGACGCCTCCCCGCCCCGCCTCGCCACGCGCCGCGCGACCACGTCGGGAGCAAGTTTCGGCCCTTCTGCCGCCCCGCCCCGCCACGACAGCCCCTGGACTCGGGTCGTACGTCAATCCCCTCCCCGTGCTGCCCCCACTGCCCCGCTCCGTCGACGCCTTACCTTGGTCCTGGTGGTCCCGGTGTCACGATTACCCGACTTCGCGCCCTGCTCGACGGGCCACCCACGCGCTCCGCGAATCCGGAAAAGAAACCGAGAGACTGTCTGTTCAATTTGTTCGTCACTGACCGACATCCTTGCCTCTGTCCACAGGAAGCTGACGGAGGGCGTGCTGTGCATCGACCGCTTCACGCGGCTCTGCATGAACCAGCAGCAGCGCGCGCACTTCCACCAGCTGTACCACGGCACCAGCGAGGTCATCCACGACCTGTGCCAGGACGGCGAGTACAGGGAAGGTGAGTGCTGAGCGGTTATTCCGCGGAGAGGGGCACTTGGGCGCGGTGACGGCGGTACGCGGCGGTACCTACACGCACTACGACGACGCCGTTAAAACTTGACAAACGAACGAGCCGTGCATGTCTGTCTGCCTGCCTGTCCGTTTGTCCGAGCCAGCGCCGCGCGCCGCGCTGGCAGGGAGCGCCGTGCAGGTATGCAACCGGCGGGCTGGCGCGCCTCCGTGTGCGCCGGGCATGCCCGCCTCGCAGGGGCTCTGCCGCCGCGCTCCGCACAGGCCGAGGCAGCGGACTCATTCCGAGAGGCCAGGCCTTTCCCTCTCTCTGTCTCTCTCGCACCTGCACGCGGCGCCCCACGAGTGCGAGAGAGACAGAGCGAACGAGTCCGCAAGGCCACGCCGGACGGAGCAGGAATGCCGGGGCGTGCGGCTGCTTCAACATGTTCGTTTCGCGAAACTTGAATTCAATATTTGAATTTGGTGGCGGCCTGGCGGCCCGGCGGCACGCAGTCTGCGCCACCACCCTGGCGGCCCCGCAGTCGGGTCGGCAGTCGGCACCGCGGCGCGCGCGGCGTGGTGTTGGTTCCCCGAACTTGTCACGCCAAGGCTGCGGCGCTGTCGCTGCTGTCGGGGATGCAGCCGGCTGACGTGTCAATGCGGTGGCGTGAGGCCGCGGGAGAGAGAGGGGGGGGAGAGGAAGTGGAGGGCGTTAATGACGACGGAGCCGGTCCCCGCCGTCCCCCTGATGCGTGTTTCGCGTGTTTTTTGCCCGCCCTGGCAGCGCCTCGCTCCGTCTCTCTCGCACTCGCGGGTCGCCCCGTAGGGGTGCGAGGGAGACGGAGAGAGCGACGAGGGCGCTGCCACCACACTGCCACCGCGCTGCAGCCCTCATTGTTTGGCCGGCGAGGCGATTGTATGCGGCAACACCTTCGCCCGCTTCGCGCTTCGCGGCGTGGCGTGTGATTATCGCTGCCAGTGTGGTGTGTGCCAAAAAAGGAAAAGAAATGGAATTGCCGACGAAAAAGAAGCGGGCGTCGATACCGCCACCACACTGCCACGGTTCGCTGCGATGTTTCACTAATCCCACTCGTTCCGTCTGTCTTGCAGAGTTCCTGCGCCACGCCCCCTGCATGAGTGAGGTGCGCAACGACCACGAGGTGTGCTCCAACGTGTACCAGGAGCGCATGGCCCAGATCGAGCAGAAGACCAAGCTTCGGACGGCGCGCCACTCGCAGCACCACCACAACCACAACCACCACTACCGCCACCACCACAACCACACGGCCGCCGAGGAGGACCTGGAGAAGCAGCAACACGAGGACGACCTGCGGACGCTGTGCTGGTGAGTGTCTCAACGCCGGTTTTCGCCTTTGGGATTGGATTGTGCGCAGCGAACTGACTTTGACTTCGTTTCGTCGCTTGCAGCTCCTTCCAGGACTACCTCCGCTGCTCGCAGTCCGTGGTGGAGGACAAGTGCGGCGAGGAGACGGCGCGGTTCGCGCACGGCTTCATGGACAGGATGGCCCAGTCGCTGGTCACGGTACGTCCTGTTTGTTTACGTTTGTTTTTGCTCATTGTTGTTGTCGTTGTTCTCGTCGCTCACGACCACCTTCTTGTTCTTGCAGAGCCACTGCCAGGCCTACCCTCCCGGCTCGGAGCTGTGCTACGACTTCTCTCCCGCCGCGCGGCCGCTGTCGTCGCGGTGGCACTCCTTGGTGCCCGTGGCGCTGGCGCTGCTGGGCCTGGTGTCCGCGTCCTCCAGGCGGTGACGGGCGCCCCGGCCGCGGCCCTCGACGCCCTCGTCACCTACCCGCGTCCGCGCGTCCCCGCGACCCTCGCCGTCGACGCGGCCCGCGCCCGGCAGCCGGCCTGCCGCCGAGACTACAACGCCACCTTCGCCTTGACCGGCTCGACCGGCTCGCCGCCGGGGAGGGGATTCCTTGATACCATCGTCAACCTGGTCCAGTTTTGTGTGTGTGTGCGTGCGTGTGTGTGTGTTTGTGTGTGTGAATCAGTGTGAGTGCGTTAACGATTTGGGCGTTGAGCGCCCTTAAGTATTTATTAGAAAAAAATGTGACTATTTTTGTCAGAAACTCATTCATGTATTTGTTTTCTCTATTAGAGTTGTTATTTTTATGTCGAGCGAATGGCAGGTGTAAATGTGTGTTAGGTCAAACTCATACCAAAGTTTCGGTTGACGTGAAACGAAGCAACCGGCTCTGTGCTTATATGTTTTTAAGAAAAGTAGTGCATCACAAGTGTTTGTATAGTTTCTAGGCCAGTGACCATGGATATTAGCCTAGTCTTTGCCAAATTTTAATTCGACTTAAATTCTTATAGTATGTTGGTATGTATTTTTAGAGTGGAACACGAATTAGTTTGCCCATGAGGCTTATTGTGAAGAGTTATCCAGCTCTCTAGAGACCACATACTAAAACTGGGACCAAATACTACTAGCTTAAAATCTTACATTGTTTTATTTCAGTAAGTGGACTCTAAAGAGCGGATAGATTCAGCCGCTGTAGATGGGTAGAACCTCAACAAACTCCCTAGACAATGAAGCAAAGCACACTTTTCCTGTACCTTGACTGAAATTATCATAGTGAATGAATTGTTAACTCTATTGTTGTAGATTAGTTGCTTTTATGCTGTTTCACGTTCTATTTAAGAATTTCATTTGTTCAGAAAAAAAAATCACTTTCATTCTCATTTGATTCTAAGGCGATATGCCGCGGGATACCATCGTACATCTTCATATCTTCATTTCATCTTTTGATTAATTTATTGCAATCCGTCCTAGAGAGAGCAGCTCTCTTGTTATGAAACGTTTTACCACTATTTATGCTGTACTTTAATGAATTAGCTTAATGAAATAATTGAGGCAAATTTCTCTAATAGAAATTCTGTCATGTTTGCAGTGCATGAAAACAACTTACTTTTATCTAAAATTTTAAAAAAGAAACAGAAAAAAATGGAAATCTTAAGTTTTTTAATTTTATTATTCAATCTAGTTTCACAATGTTCTATTACACCTTTCTACTTTTTCTCACATCACATATCTTCTTGTACCAGTGAGCCTAAACTACCTGTAATAGTCTGTATAAATTTTGACAGACTTTTCAAAGTTACATCATCATGGTGATAGTTGTAGTACAGCTGTAAATTTTTTATTCATCTAAACCAAGTTTGGAAAAAAAAATTGTTTTGGTTCTAAGAATTATTACATCTCGGTAACGTTTCATTATTTTAAGATAATGTACATATCTGTAAAATGGTGTGATGCAGTGTGTGTGCATGTGGGAGTGTATAAATGAGTGAATGTATGTATTTCTTTTTATGTACTCATGTGTGTCGTGAAAGTTTGAGTTTGATGCAGTCCGTACAATATTCGGTCTTGCTTGTGATTCTTTGTAGACAGCATAGTAGACAGCAATGTTCCTATCAGACTGAGAAATGAGCCCAACTTGGGGCAGAAAAGCAAGCAAACCATGCCATCTTGTGGTGGTTGGGCGAATCCATTCTGAATGAAGCTTCTTCTTTTAGGGACTTGATGACGTTGTAACAGTATTAATGAACTTGAATCATGAACCATGAGGTTACTTTGGAGACTGAAGTGCTGCAGGACATTGCGGCAAAGCAGGGCAGCATGGCATAAAAACATAATACAGACAGAAAAGTACTAAATCAGAAATTACTCTATGGCAAACTTTTGGCATTTATTGACACAGTTGCTCCATTAATTTGAGAGGATGCTGCTCCTGCCAACCAAAGTAAGCGGAGCTCAAGTGTAAATAACCTACTTCGTATCCATACCATTTTGCCGCACGTCTTTTTATATTTCCGGATTTAAAATCTTTGGAAATGCCGACGTTTAGTCAAATGTCGCGCCGAATGTCGTTAGAGTAAAAAGTGATACAACCATTGATATTTTCGAAGTAAAATATTAGAAATTCATACTGTATATTGTACATAAAAATGCACTACAGTATGTAAAGATTTGTGTAACGTGATAATACATTTTATTGAATATGTTGTCAACCTGTTTGTAATAAAGAAAATTATGTTTAATTTTTACATAACGAATCTTTATTTAACACACCTACCTATTCCCAATAGCCTCATGCTACCACACCAGAACTAAACTCAGCGTCACAGGGAAAGTCATTTTCTCACCAAATAGAATGAGTCAAAGATTATCAGGCATCGGGCATCTGTTTCTTAGACCCATAGCAACGTTCCATATGAATTTCAGACAAATCTGAGATGGTCGCCCATTTTTGTCGAAAGGCATGGTTTTTTCACGTTTTGGGTAAAAAATTTGAAATGGTCCAAATTCGAGTATGTTGTGCTGGAGCACTCCCCAGTACCCCTAGACACTATTTGGAGGAACATTTCGGCCCGAAACAATCTTTTTCCGGCGAAAAACAGGGCGTGAGGCGAGAGGCGCGAACCCTGCGCCGTCTGAGTAGGCAGCCCAACGCACAGTAGGGGAGCTGCGCACCCCTACGCAACCCCCCAAACGCACACGAGTGCGAGAGAGACAGGCAGATCTCCGCAAGCACCGCGGGACGCACCGCGGGACGCACAAAGGAGAGCGGTTAGTCCCGGTTTGTCCAGCGCGCTCGCGGGCAGCCCGAACACAGCGTGCGTTTGCATGCCGTAATCCGTCATTTCGTGATGTATTACATCGGCCGGGCCGAACGCGATACGATGCGATCTTCTGCTGAATGCGCGGGGCGAGTCGCGGACGCTGGACGCCGGCCAGACGGACATGTGGGGGCGGGGGGCGCTTGTGGAACACAGCGTGGGCGGAGCGGAGGGGAGGGGAAGAAAAATGCTGCCCCTTGCATGGAGAGAGCACCCCGAGATAGATAGCCGGCCGTGTTGCTGCTCGCCTGCTCGCCGCTTCCTCGTGTGTGACGGAGAGAGACGGCCGCGGGCCGCGGGACGCACCCCCTGCCCCGCGAAGGTTCAACCCCATTAGGGTCGCTAAGTTGCCAGGTGTAAGCAGACCGGCTGGGGCATCATGGCGGTAGCGCACCTGCGGAGCGACTCGCAACAGCACTTCGTCACCCTGTCTCTCTCCCTCCCCGACGGATGCGTGTGAGTGCGAGAGAGACAGACAGACCGCGCGCCGTTCTGAGTCATCCTGCTCTCTTCGGCAGTCCAGTCGGCACGGCTGTTGGTTGGGTTGCCTGGCGTCGGGGCGCTGCCTACGGCCGACTCACGCAGAATGGAGCAGAAAGGATTGTTCGCTGCAAGTTTGACGGCCTGGCGGCCTGACCAAGTGTCCGCCCTTCTTGTGCACTGTGCAGAGCGGCCGTTACTTCCCTCTCGTTATTCCGCCTCTGTTTCTTCCCTCCTTCTTATTGGCGCCTACAAACCGGCAGCGCGGGGCCGTGGCAAAACAGGGATCCGGGCGCCACAGTGCCGCCGTGCCGGCGTCGCGGAGGTGCTGCGGAGGCGGCGCCCCGCCACCGCCACCACCACGACGAACAGACAGCAACATTGATTAAAATCCGCTCCGCGCCGCTTCGCCGTCTCTGCGTTTCATTAGAAGTCGCTGGCGGGGTGGCCCCGCGTCCCCGCGTCCCCGCGTCCCCCGGGCCCCTGGGAGACCGTTCGCTCCGTTCAGCGCTCATTATTTATGGCTGCGAAATGACTTCATTTGGGAAAGGCGGCGGGGACGTCGGCGCCAATGCAATGGCCGAGGCGCCGGGGCCGCGGCGGGGCCGTGGCCGAGGCCCAGACTCCGCCGGGCGCCGCCGGCCCGGTGTGACTAACTACCCCTCGGCCTCGCCCTGGGCCTCGCCCTGGGCCGCGGCCGGGAGAAATGAGGGCCCCCGCCGAGGCCCCCGACGGGGCAGCTAAGAAATCGCGCGAGGAGCGCGAAGCTGCCGCAATTTCTGTGTTAATGCGTGCGATGGCTGCGATGATGAACAAGGCCATCAGGGCCGACGGCGTCCACGACTGCCGCGCTGCCAACGGTCTATATTCCGCGCGGAAATGAAAAGCGATGCGAAAATTACGGTGGTGTGGACATTTTGAAAATTAAAATGACATTGGCGTTTTTTTGAGAGCTCGGCTGCCGGCCGGAGCGCCTGTGAAGTCGAGGGTAGGCAGCCCTGCGAGACTCCGCGGCGTGGCGGGCCGGCCCACCCGGAGTTCCTCGGGCGCTCCGGTCGCCGAGAGACATCGACTGTCTCGCCTCTCCAAGACTCTCTAGCGGTGCCGGTGACGCGGTGACGTGGTGGCGCGGTGGACGCACGTACCGGCGCGTACTCGGGTCCCACGTGCCGGCAATACCTCGGGGCACCTTGAGCTGCCTGAGCTGCTTGAGCCTAGCCGGCCGGAGACACTTGCTTCTCAGTCGCGCTGCGTGTGCCAAATTTCGATTAGATAGCAGTGCGGGCACGGGAGGAGTTTGGCGCGGTCACGCCAAGGTGGGCTGCGACTCGTGGGGCGGACTGTCTGTCCCAGCCCAGCTGCGGCGGAGGCAATGCTGAATGAATTTCGCCATTATTTGTCAAGCAAGATAGACCCCAAAAAAAATGGTCAAAAATAGTAATTTTTCAAAAAATTATTTTGGTGTTAGTTTATCCAAATTCTTCAAAAGATGGCAGCGAAGTCCTTCAACACTCTTCGAAATTCGCCGGGTCCGCCAGGCGGCAGACGGTGTGTAAGGATGCGCTCCGAATGTGCTTCCTGGAGGTCGCTTCTGCTTGTCGTCGTGCTCCAGTCGCTCCAGGCGCTCCAGGCGCACGCGGCCGTCCGCGCTTGGCCCT